CCCCGTGCCCTGTGCCCCCCCAGGGGGCTGGAGCACGCTGCCCTGTCCCCCCCCTGTGCCCTGTTCCCCCCAGGGGGCTGGAGCACGCTGCCCTGTCCCCCCACGGCGCCTTGTTTCCCCACTGAGCCGCACCCCGTCCACACAGAAGCAGTGACCGATGGCCTTTCGCGAGGACACCTGTCTCTCAGCTGCCCGCACGGGCGCTGGGAGCCTTGATGAGGAAAGCAGAGCCAGGCGAGCCCACGCCGCCGCTGCCCAGCCCTGGAGACGCGGCAAGGCATCGCTCACCCGGCAACTATGTCTCCTAGGCCGCGTCTGCCCAGCCCCGAGGCCGAGCCCGTCAGAGGCCAGGCAGAGACTCAGAGCCCAGGACTCAAGAAGGCCTCGGCCACGGCCAGGCCGACCAGGGCAGTGGCCGCACCGCAGGGACCGTTTCCCTGCAGCGCCCCCACCCCACAGCCCGGCCTGCCAGGGCTCGCGGAGCGGCTGAGCGTGGCTGCTCCAGGGGTCAGAAAGAGGCGTGGGCCCGAGGTGCCGGGAGGGCCCGAGGGGACGAGATGGTCCACACACACCTCTGGAAGTGAAGTCTGCCCACTTCCTCGTGCATGCCCCTGGTGTGAAGTTGGAGGCTGTGGCAGGGAGCCCCGACCTAGGGGGAGGCGTGTGGAGACTGTGTCCACCAGATGGGAGGGTCCCTGGAGGGCACTGGGCCGTGCCGCGGTGGGCTGGGCTCCCGGCATGGACCGTCTCTGGGAGCTGCCACTCATAGCCCAGCCGCAGCTCGAGGGGGAAACGTCTGGGCTTCAGCTCAGGCAGAGATGCTGAGTGCTGAGCTAGCTGGAGCCCAGCACATGGCGCATAGCATCGGCCACAAATGCAATGCTGCCCCGGGCGCTCGGGCAGACATCTTGAGCTGCTAGAGTTGGGAAGGGCCAGAGGGGCCGCTGGGCCCTGTACCCCAGGATGAGACTGTGACTCGGAGCCCTGGGTGGGAGGGAAGAGGGGATGAGGGAGAGGGGAGGGTAGAGAGAGGGGCTGAGTCGGGGCAGATGGCCAGTGAGGGCTGACCCCGCTGCGGGGACTGTGGGGGCGGGTGGCTTGATGCAGGGCTGCCGCTGGGCAGGAGACAGGAAATAGCTGCACAAGGCTCCAGCGCCGGGCGCCGGTCTCTGCTGGCGGTGGTAGTTTGGAGAGGTGACTGGAGGGCAAGGATGCCAACTTCCTCACGCCAGCGGAGGACAGGAGACGGACACGTCATGCCAGGGGAGAACAGGATTTTTTTTGGGGGGGGGGTTGGCCATGGGGCTTGAACTCTGGGCCTGGGAGCTGTCCTTCAGCTCTTCAGCTCAAGGCGAACACTCTACCACTTGAGCTACAGCGCCACTTCCAGTTTTCTGTTGGTTCATTGGAGATCAGAGTCTTATGGACTTTCCTGCCCAGGCTGGCTTTGAACCGCAATCCTCAGATCTCAGCCTCCTGAGTAGCTGGGATGACAGGCGTAGCCACCGGTGCCTGGCTCTCAGTCCCTTTCTTAGAGGAGAACCCTGGGGCTCAGAGCTGGCAGGTACCAGCCTCGCTGGCCCGTGTGGAGGGTTCGGGATTTGAATTCACGTCTGCCGTGGTCCCTGTGCGTGGAAGGCCCGGTCCCGGGTGGAATGCTGAGGTCACGGGTGGGAATGTCCACCTGCGGGGTGACCGAGGGGCTGGACGCGTGCCCGCCACGGGACAGACACAGACACACGTGTGAGTCTGCGGCCCGCCTACGGCCTGCGCCATCTGCCGCACCGGTCATTCCGAATGGCCCACGCGTGAGGCTCCCACACCCAAATAGTCTCTAGCAGGAAATGGTCCCCAGCCCTGCTTTCGGGATGGAACTCATGGGAGGAGGGGCCTGCAGGGGGGAGGCGGGAACCCCAGCCCTGTCCTGGCTCCGTCTCCGTCTCTCCCTAAGCCGTCGTGAGTTGTCAGTCCCCAGCTCCCCCAGAGAGAAGGGACGGAGGGCGCAGGACGGAGGTGGAGGCTGTGCCGGGAGGAGGCCCGGGCCTTCCTGGTCCGTGGATGCTCCCGGGCCTGGTGTCTTTGGGGAGAGCGGGTGGGGCAGAGCCTGCCCCGTGGAGGGAGCGTCCCAGGCCGGGGCTGCCCCCCCCCGCCGGACAGGACCTCGGGCTCAGAGGCCAGTGATGAGGGAGCAGCCCTGGACGTCCCCTTCTCCCCTCCTCGCTGGTCCTCTGCCCCATAGTCTCCAGCGTGCCTGGACAGGAGTGGCGGGGAGTCCAGGTTGGAGTGAAGGCGGGCTCTCAGGTCACGTCGGTAGCGCAGGTAGCGCCGGAGACAGCGGGCGCCTGCCCCGCCCAGGCTCTGGGGGCCTTGCTGGGGTACGCCTTGGATGAGGCGAAGGTGTGAGCTCCAAGAAAGACCCAAGGAAGCCACGGCATGGAGACCGTGACTGACCCAGGCTTCTGGAGGCACGGAGGTTGAAGCAAGGGTCCTGGGGCTGCCATGACCGACAACCGGCCACACGCTTGGCGGAGGAAGACAGCACGCACGTCGTGGGGCCCTCCTGGAGGCGTGGGGCCCTCCTGGAGGCGTGAGGCCTGACAGGAGGCGGTCTCGGCTGGTTCCTTCCACTGGGGGCAGGCGGGGTGGTCCCTCACAGCCTCTGGGCTGGCTTCCGTCCTCACGTCTCCTGTCTGCTGGCCGCCCACCGTGAGCCCCGGGGGGAGGGGGGAAGAGTCTCCCTGGCAGATCCTGGTACAAGGCCACATGGGATGCGGGCAAGCCTGTGGCACCTGGCATCCTTCTTAGGGGTGGCCCATTTGAATCGGCCTGGGGTCGGGGCCGGGGCCGGGGGGGATCCACGCAGGGACTGCCAGGCAGCTGGTGACCAGAGGGCAGTGGCCAGATCCCAAGAAGCAGGAGTCCTTGGCTAGGGAAGGGGACTGGGGAGGGGACCCAGAGCTGGGCCTGCACTGTGGCTCCAGAGCCTGTGCATACCCCGCACTATTCAAGGCTGGGGAGCAGCCTGGGCTCCACCATAGTCCTCGGGCTTCCTCGTGCTCCCCTGTGCTCCTCCATGCTCCCCCGTGCTCCCCTGTGCTCCTCCATGCTCCCCTGTGCTCCTCCATGCTCCTCCATACTCCCCCGTGCTCCCCTGTGCTCCCTCATGCTCCTCCATACTCCCCCGTGCTCCCCTGTGCTCCCTCATGCTCCTCCATACCCTGTGCTCCTCCATGCTCCCCCGTGCTCCCCTGTGCTCCTCCATGCTCCCCTGTGCTCCTCCATGCTCCTCCATACTCCCCCGTGCTCCCCTGTGCTCCCTCATGCTCCTCCATACTCCCCCGTGCTCCCCTGTGCTCCCTCATGCTCCTCCATACTCCCCCGTGCTCCCCTGTGCTCCTCCATGCTCCCCCGTGCTCCCCTGTGCTCCTCCATGCTCCTCCGTGCTCCCCCGGGCTCCCCAATGTTCCCTTGTGCTCCCTCATGCTCCTCCATGCTCCCCCGTGCTCCCCTGTGCTCCTCCATGCCCCCCTGGGCTGCAGCTCATTCCTGAACTCCCATCTCTGGTCACAGTGGGGCAGGGAGCACTTGGGGGAGGGTGCGCGTGCGCAGGTCAACCAAGGGCAGAGAGCTGAAGGGCCTGACCAGTTCCATCCCCCCGGGAGCGGATGTTTACCTGGCCACAGCTGTGAGCACAGCTGCCCAGGGGGACAGAGCCCGCCCGGCCACTGGAGGCCAGCCACCGGCGTGTGTGTGGCCTGGAGCCACTCCTGACCCCTCTCTGGGCCTCGGTTTCCCCCATGGCAGGCGTTGGCCACAGGCTCCTGAGCTTGTGGGAGTTGGGGTGTCCGCAGGGCCCCGGGGCCAACGCCCACGTCACAGGGAACGCAGAGGAGGGCTGGGTGGGCCGGCAGAGTTGCTCAATGTTCTCGAAGCAGCTGGCCGGCTCTGGAAAAGTTGTTTTTCACAGGCTTTTTTTTAAACAGCTGCAGGAACAGTTGGAGGTCAGCCTGCCGCCATCTGGGAGCGATGGGCAGGACGGGCCTGCACTGCACAGCGCCACTTCCGCCCCTGGGCGGGAGGTCTGCGGGCTGGAGAGCCGGCCGGGGCAGAGGCAGCGGCCTCGGGATGTGCCGCTTGGCCCCCGCGGGTCGGTGGGAAAGCGTCAGAGCCACCGCCACAGCCACCCCAAGGGCGGGGGAGCGCAGGGGCACAGGGGACCCTCCTGGGCTTCACGCAGGGCTGGGACATTGGCTTCATCTTCCTGAGGAGACCAAACTGCCAGGGAAGCAGCATGAACTCCATTGCCCAGGCGCAGAGGCTTAGGGACGTGGGTGGCAGGGGCTCAGCCTGGCGCTCCGGAGCCCTGGGCGGAGGGCTGGCCCTGTCTGCTGTGCCCCAGGGACTGGGGAGGGAGGACGGGGCCTGGCTCCAGGCTGTCCCCGGTGACCCCAGGAGTGCGGATGGCACCAGGGATGGGGGGGCGGGCTTCTGCCCACCATGCAGGAGCAGCACGGCCAGCAGGACCCCAGACTTGGTCCAGGCAGAGTCCGACTGTCCGGGCCGCCTCGGGCTGCCAGGTGCCCACCCCTGGCTTCAGAGCAGCTGGCACCCCAGGCACATGGCACCGTGCTCTTGTGATCTTTCTGCCTCGGTTTTCCCATTGCTGGGACTGGCTACAGGAGAGATGAAGCTCTAAGGCCTGGGCTTGCTGGGAGCCGGGTCTCTCTGCTCCACAGGCAGAGGTGGGCGGGGCGGCCTCGCCCTCCCTCCTGCAGGGAGGGTCAGAGCTGGGCATCAATGGAGGAGCTGCTGGGGCACCAGGCGGCCCTGGGGACGGTGTGTCCTTGTGTGCGTGGTTGCTCAGGTGTCACGCGCACCTGTTTTAGCCCTGGCAGGTCTTGGTTCATGCACCTGGCCAGGTGCCAGGACGAACCCCCGTGTGTGTGTGTGGGGGGGGCGTTGCTCAGACACCGCTAACAGAGAACCACGTGCTTGTAAACTTTAATTCCACACAGTAGACAAACGTACAGTACACGCAGCACTGCAGGTGATCTTACAGCCAAGCTCCTAAATACACCTGGAAACATGTCGGAGGGCAGGTGCCCGGGAGGGCCGCGGCTTCTGGCAGTGGGGCTGGGATGGGGTGGCTGCTGCACCCCAGCTGTGTGGAGGAGGGGCTGACGGCTCCGTCTTGGCACCGGGCAGCTCCCAGTCACCTGGGCAGGAGGCCCTGCTCCCCGTGGCTGCCGGCCAGCTGGCGGGCACAAGCCTGGCTCAGTGTGGGCGCCTCCGGCACCTGCTCCAGAGCAGCCTGCAGGGCCCGCTCTTCACGGGATCTTCTCTACATGGTCTGTCCTTCAGAGATTCTGGGAGGCTGGGCAGGCAGCCCCTGTCATGCCCCGAGGGGAACTGCAGAACTTTCTAGAGGCCCAGCAACGGCAGCACCAGGAGCGTCGGACCAGGGGCTGACGCTGGGCGTTCCTCATCGGCACTGGCACCAGCACTAGGGCCGGGTGGAGACGCAGACCCCTGGCCGGGCCCAACCTCTGCTCTGCCCCTGGCCAGGGAGGAGGTCCCGCCGAGGACCCCCGGGGTCCTTCGTCCTGAGCCTGGGGAGGCCGCAGCCGTGGCACCCCGGGCTCCATGACGGGCACGGGCGGGAGGCGGCCCCGCGTCACATCACCACTTCGGGAGAGATGTTGAAGAGCAGGTCATCGTTCCCCCGCCGCACCTCCAGCAGGAGCGGGGACTCGGTCAGCACGGCCTCCTGCAGCTCGCTTGAGTCCAACAGAGCACGCCCGTTCACTCTGACGATGACATCGCCATCTTGGATGCCTCCCCTGCCAACGGAGACCGTGCAGTGACCACACACACGTGCATACGCGCGCACACACACACAGAGGCTGAGAGGCATCCTCTCCCCACAGGATGACATCGCCATCTTGGATGCCTCCTCTGCCAACAGAGACAGCATGGTGACCACACACACGCACACGCATGCACATACCCACAGGCTGCGAGGCCCCGGCTGATGGAGACGGTGCGGTCACCCCCACACACACACAGAGGCTGAGAGGCGTTCCCCTCCCCTGCCCCCACAGGATGACATCGCCATCTTGGATGCCTCCATTGCGTGCGCGCGCGCGCACACACACACACACACACACACACACACACAGGCTAGCGAGGCCCCGGTGCGGTCACCACACAGGCTGGCGAGGCTGGGGCCCAGGCTCCAATAGCCACTTTAGAAAGCCGCTCGCTTCTAGGAGGAAGAGCAGGCCCCGGCACCAGCCTCCTCTGCCAAGGGCACGTGATGGGTACATGTTCACTACCGAGATGGCACAGGCTCCGTCTTCCCCCTGACAGCAGCCCAGACCCCAGTGGGGTCCATCCAGCAAGCAGGATGATGGTTTCCGCCACTGCCAGGGCCCCGCCTGCTGTGGCTCGGGTCGGGTGTGTCCAGGGCCCGGCCTGAAGAGCCCACGGCTGTGCCAGGGTGTGGGCACGGAGCACGCCGTCTGCCGCCTGTGGCTTCGGGGAGAGGCCAGAATCCACCTGCCCTATCCACATCTCTCTGCCAGGAGTCTCAAGGCTGTGTAAGGTCAATGGGGGAGTCCCTGCTCAGCCCCTACCCCCACCCCAACACGCCCTCTAGAATGTCTGATCTACTGCCTCCTGTGGGCCCCCCTGCCACGCCGGCCCCACCTGCTCACCTCTGAGAAGGTGAGTTCGGGGCCACCTCTTGCACATAAATGCCGCTGCTGACGGATGGGAAGTCGGGGTTGCTGGCCTTCAGCTCTTCCACCAAACTGAGAAGATACACTTGTGTAAGGCCTCCAAACCCACTCTGGGCACACAGCCTCGGTCTTCCGCCACCACCAGACAGGCCAGCAGCCGAGAGCAGGCTCCATGCCACCCGCTTGCCCGGCTCTGAACAACCTGGCGCACTAGACAGGCACAGGGCGGCGATGGCTGACTGGAGGGGGCGGGGATGGGAGGCGGCAGGGAGAGGGAAGGCAGGGAGGAAAGGTGGTGAATGCATGGAAAAGTAAAGGCTAAGCAGGTAGATGGAGGAAAGCAGGGCAGACAGACAGACAAAGGGCCAGGCAGGGATGAGGAGGAGCAGACGTGGAGTGGAGGAAAGGAGGAGAACACAATGAGAAGATAGGCAGGTAGGCTCCGCTGCAACTGCTCTCCAGTAGGGTCCTGGCTCCCAGGAGCTCCAGCCAAGCTGGCAGGCAGAGCCCGAGGCCCCACAGCCGGGCCAGGTCAGCCTTGGAGAGAGGCCAGTGCTGTGCAGAGACGGGGCAGCTCCTCCCACGTGGGGAGCCCAGAGGGGCAGGACAGTGCCCGCCCAAGGTCACCGGGGCCTCCGAATGCTCGAGACTTGTCTGGAATTAACATCTTCGTAGGCATCTTAAGAGAATCCAGACTTCAGGGTGAGCCCCGAATCCCATGCCAATGAGATTGTCTCCCATGAGAAACGGGGAGGGAGATACACGCGGAGGGGGAGGTCATGGGAGCTGGGCGGGGAGGAGGGATGGATGCACACAGTGGGAGGGGGGAGGTGTGTACAGCCAGGAGGCTGCAGGCTCAGAGGCTGGAAGTGGGAAGGCTCCTCCCAGAGCCTCCACCACCGCGTGGCCCCGACAGCCCACGCTCATTCCTGAATCCACAACCCTCAACCTATGTATCTGGGTTGTTCAGATGCCACACTGTGGTAACTTGTGTGGCAACCCCAGGAAATTAACCCAGAAGACTTCCTGGAGGAGGAGGTAGTGCGTGAATGGACTCTGGAAGATGCCAGAGGACTCCATCAGACAGAGCAGACAGGGGCATCCGAGAGGAGGGTCCAGCACAGAAGGCGGGCAGGCCCAGCGGGGCCAGGGAGGAGGGGCTGTGGGGAGACCGGGGAGCCCTCACCTCGGAGTGATGGTTCTCATCCGCAAGCCAATGAAGCGCTTCTTCCAGTCTGGAAAGGAAACCCACAGGACTCGGTTAAGGCAGCCTCAAGACCACTGCCCTCCCAAGGATGCCCACAGCCAGCGCTGCCCTCCCCCATGAGCTAGGGGAGCCCTGCGGGAGCCGAGCACCCCACTCCCCCAGGGCCTCACGTCTGTTCTGCCCTCAGCCGGCGGCTCAGCTTTGACACTCAGGGGCCAGCAGGCTCTCCTCCGAGTCCCCAATGCCCTGGCTCAGAAATGAGCTCATACCCCTCCCGGCCCTCCCTGTAAATCACAGCAAGGCCAGAGCGCAGCAGCGGGCCAGAGTGCCAGGTAACCACCTCACCCGAGGACACAGCTCACCAGGTACCCGAGGGCGCAGGCCCCCACGGAGCCCCCCACCCCACCCGTGCACTCAGCAGGTGTCTACGACCCAGAAATCACAGTCACAGATTCTGAGTCACTAAACAAGCCTCAGGAAAGTTAAAGTGGTGAAATTAACTTTTTGGACAAAGTCATTTCCTTTCACTTGGCTTTTCTTTCTCTTTTTTTCTTTTCTTTGGTACAGGGCCTGAACTCAGCACTTGGTTTTTACAAGGTAAGATCTCTACACTTGAGCCATGTCCTCAGCTTAATTTTTTTTTCTCATTTCATGAAATTTTCTGATGACAATGGGATTAAAGTAGAAAGTAATAATAGAAAAGTATCTAGAAATTTTTCAACTACTCAGAAACTACTACTCCTAAACAGCCTATCTTCAAACATGAAATCAAAGCGAGAGTTAGAAAGTATTTCAGCTGCTTAAAATAGGACATACCAAATTTTATAGAACACAAAGGTAGCACTTAAGAGGGAAATCGATGCAATAACTAGTATATGTCTGAGACAAGCAGAAAAGGTCAGAGAAGTTGATGTTAGGTAAAATGAACCCCAAGATAGGTATTTAAAGTTTTTTCTTTCATGTGATTGTTTCTAATATATTTATAAGATGATTTCTTTGTTGCTTTTATGTCCCTCCCCCACGGTATAACCCCTGCTTTCACTGTATTTGATGTCAGTATAATTTGTGGAGGGGAAGGGAAAAAACAAATGGCTTAAATAGGGATACAGGTGGACCCACTGCAACAATGAGATGTACAAGTCGTTATGTCAAAACACGAACTTTACAACTTTGGCTGGGGTGCAGGGGTGGGAGATGGGAAGGGATGGGAAGGGAAAACTAAGGAGGAGGCAACAATGCTTGATAAGAAATGTACTCATTATCTTGCCCATGTAACTGTAACCCCTCTATACGATATTTTCACAATAAAATTTAAAAAAAAGAGGGAAATCAACAGCACTATAATGACTGTTAGAAAAGCACCTGGTTTCAACCTACAAAAAAAGAAGTAAATAAAAGGAAGATAGAAAACAACAAGGGTAAGAATGTAATTGATGAAATGGACAATAGAAACACAAGAGAAAATAAGTGAAAACTAAAAGCTGACGCTTTGAGATCAGTAACATTGCTAAATCTCTACCTAGCACATTCGTGAAAAAATAAAGACGCCAAGAATGAGAGCCATTCCCCCCACAGCCCCACACACCCAAAAACAAACATTGCCTGCTATTTCCACACTATTGAAAATCATTCAAGAGAAGTCAGCCACTCAAACAGCCATGTTTGAGTGAAAGGAGTTTTATTTGTGTTTAAAAATTGTCCTATGATGAACATCTCAGACCCATTGACTAATTCTATAATTTGTTTAAGATAGAACCAGCCCAGAGTCTGCTGACCTCTCTAGGTGCTGAAAATGAGTGACTATCAATCCATTTTCCCCACCAAAACCAGGAAAGAAAAGCAAACCAATGTATCTAATAGAAATGGAAAAGTCTTTAAACACTTTCTGCAAATCAAATCCAACAATATACAAAAGGATAACACAAGTGTGTGAGATTTACCCCAGGAATTCAAGGTTGGTTTAACACTTAAATCAATCAACGTGCTGTGGCCTGGTATGCACACCTGGAATCCTAGCTGTTTGTGTGGCAGAGATCGGGGGACCAAGATTCAAGGCAAGCCTAGCAGAAGGCATTTGTAGGACCCTACTTCGACCAGTGGCTGGGTGTGGTGCTGGGTGCCTGCAACTCAGTGAGGTGGGGAGGTCACCGAGTAGGATAGAAGTCCAGGCAGACTCAGGCATCATCAAGGACACCCACTCCAAAACAACCAATGCCAAAAGAGCTGGAGGAGTCACTCAAGTGATGGAGTGTCTACCAATAAGCATGAGCCCCTGAATTCAATCTGAGTACAGCAATCAATCAATGAGAAATCAACCAATGCAACTTATTGTAATAGCAGGTGTTAAGATGCTGAGCACAGCGACAGAAGACCTAGATGAAGAGAAAGACACTGTGTGATCACTGCTCTGGAGATGGGACCCTAAAAATGCCCATTTTTCCCAAGTTCACCTATAGACCTAAAGCAATAACAATGCCAGCAGGATTTCCTTTCTGTAAATCCAATCTTGATAAGGATGTGCAAAGGACCTAGAAGAGGCAGAAGAGATGGAGAGTGGAAGAAGGAAGCGAGCGGGTTTACTCCACCTAATTAAGGACAATTGTCACCTACGCATCCAGACCTGCTACACCAACAGACACTGGACAATCTAGGTGTCCTTGCAGACCCAAGAGCAGAGAGGTTTTCTCCCACAAGTTTTACTGCCTGAGGTTTTAGGAGCAGAGCTAGACTGCATGCTGTATTTCTTCAGTAAAGTACAGCTCAAAGGTTTTGTGTTGTGTTTGTGCTTATGCTATGCACTAAAAAGTCCACACCCTTTCTCCACCAAACTCAGTGAATAAGTAAGTAACTTTATAGCCAGGTGCTGGTAGCTCACGCCTGTCATCCTAGCTATTCAAGCATAAGGAAGCCCTGCTCTCAATGGTGTGCTGGTGAGGAGGTGGGGAGACAGAAGGAGAAGAGGAAGGGCAGTAGGGTGGGGACAGCATGAGCGCAATGAAGGAAGGAAAATGCGCACTGAGAACAGGAAGGCAGGCCCACCAGGGGGGCCCTGAGTCAGGGCCTCCTCTAAAAGAGGCCATGATCACCAACAACAGGGGCTGGCATGCCCTCTCCTGGGGAGTCACTGTGTCTCAGTGAGACCTCTTTGTGGGGGGGAGGCTCGTGGCCTCTAGAATGGTCAGGGTGACCTCTCCCATGGTGGGGGGGGCTCATGGCTTCTAGAATGGTCAGGGTGACCTCTCCCAGGGTGGGGGAGGGGTTCATGGTCTCTAGAGCAGGCAGGGTGGACAGACACCCTCATCTGGATGGGAGTGAGGAGCGGAGGCTGGCAGGAGGGGTGCTCCCAAGGATCAGTCTTGGGGTCTGCTCCTCTGGAGGAAAAAATACCTGCCAAGTGGACCACGGGCTGAAAGGGTGAGTGGACGGTGGAAGGAGGGAGAAAAGGAAGGGTAGGAGGGAAGAAACATGGATAGGAGATGGCTGGGTAAACAGATGAGTGATGAATGGATGGATAGATGGATGAGGGTAAATGAGTGGACAGATGGATGCACACATGGGTGATGGATAGGTGGACAAACTGGGTGGGTGGATGGATGAATGGATGGTGGATGGATGGATGAGAGGAGCACAGGTGGATGGATATGTGGGTGGTGGATGAGTTGGGTGGATGGTGGATGGATATGTGGGTGATGGATGGGTTGGGTGAATGGCTGGCTGGCTGGCTGGATAGATGGTGGATGGATGGATGACAGGAGCACAGGTGGATGGATATGTGGGTGGTGGATGAGTTGGGTGGATGGTGGATGGATATGTGGGTGATGGATGGGTGGATGAGTTGGGTGGATGGATGACAGGTGCGTGGGTGGATGGATGGATGGATAATAGCTGCATAGATGGAAATGTGGGTGTGCAGATGGAGATAGCTGAGCAGACAGACAGGAAGGTGGCAGGGAGAAGGGGGGGCAGGGTGAACCTCAGCTAGGAGAAAACAGCCTGGAGTGGGAGGGGTGAAGGTGGCCATGACCGAGGAGGGGGGAAGACGAAGGGTCAGGAGTGAGCACCTGGCGCGGGCCCCGGCCCACCCTGGGAGCTGGGGGCGGCCTTGGCCAGGGAGCCTGCTTCCCTCAGCCCGGCGGGGGGTGGGGTGGGAGGGGGAGCTCTGTACCTTTGGCGCTCTTGTCCTGGAACTCTTCGAGGAAGCGCGCGATGCGGTCGGACGGGATGGCGAAGGAGATGCCGGCTGTGACCTTGAGCGTATTGATGCCGATGACCTCGCCGTCCTGGCACGGGGTGAGCAGAGTGGGGTGGTCACCCAGGGGACACTGCACATGGCTGCCCTCAAAGCATGGTGTCCACAGCCCTTTCCCGGGCCTGTGCCTGGCGGGCGGTGACGGGAGACAGGGAGCAGGCCCCGCCCTCCAGAGCAGACGCCTCCCAGGGTCTCCTCAAGCAGTGACTCCTTTCCCACTGTGCCCTTCACAACCCTGGAGGCCTCCTGCTCCATTCTGGGGTACACTCTCGTACGCATCCTGGGGAGGACACGGCCAGCTCACAGGGGACCCTTTGTCCTCCTGACCCCTGGAGCTCGTGAGTGGAGACCGGGAACTGTCTTCCACCCCACTCCCACCCTGCCCAGCCTTCCTCTGCCTGTCCTCACCATGGATGGCCAGCGACACAGAGCTCTCTAGGCCGGGCTTCCTGGCCTCCAGCCTGCACCCCACCCACAGGAGCCCCATCCAAGCTGAGCCCCATCTGGCCAGGGCCAAGCACTCTCCCTTAGCCCCATCCCCGACCCCCTCCATCCTGGCTTCTGTGGCCTCCTGGGGTCCCTGTGTGCCCAACCCCACTCTGTGCCCTCCTGTCCCCCGAGCACAGGCCTGCAGCCCCTCTGGAGAGCTCATGTGCTTGTGTGGCACTCAGCACGGCCATGCCTGGCCACCTCCTGTTCAGAGCCCCTCTTTGTTCTGGGGGCCTCCCAGCCCAGATGGGAGGAGCCTGACTTTGGGGCTAGGGACAGCAGCGTAGAAAGGTGGCCGAGGGGACTGAAGGGAACAGGTCATCCTTCTGCCGCCCTGGTCACCGCGGACAGGGCGGCCCAGGGCAGAGGTGGCCCACTGTGCCTGCCGTGTCCAGCGACACCACAGGGCCCGGCCGGCCGCTGTCCTCGGCTGAGTCCTCATGGCTGGCGCCCATCACTCCCCAGGCCCAGGATGACACCCCGTGGAGCTGGGAGTGGAGTACTGGGGGCCTGGCCTGGCGGCTGTGCCCCTTACCCCCAGGCCCCCTGCAATGTAAGCAGAACCGCTGAAAACCAGACTCTGCTTGGGGACACTCACCAGGTTCACCAGCGGTCCCCCGGAGTTCCCGTACTGCAAGGGAGGAAAGAGAATGTTGGCCAGGCAGGGAACTCACAGCTCCACCACGTTTTCTCTGTAGCTGGTCGGGAACTGGGTGGGACTGCGCTGGGGGGGGGGGGACCTGGCCTGCCCTCTAGCGCCCTCTGCAGGCCCAAGGCCTCCGTGTGGCAGCTCTGCCCCCTACCCCCACCCACTTTGCACCCACTGGGGCCAGTACCCATCTTCACACCGCAGGTGCCAGCAGCTCCAGAAGACAGCAAAGGGCTTCATCCAAACCACCTCGACCCCAGTAAAGAGCCGTGCCGGCGGCTGGCGGGGGCAGGCATGCTGCCCGGCGTGGCCAGGCTGCCATATCTGAAGGCCATCTTGATCTGGGCAGCAGTGGGGCCCAGGCTGCCTGTGTGCCCGGGCAGCAGCCGCAGGGCTCCGCGCCTCTGAGATCTTACCAGCTAGTGATGTGAGGGGCCAGGCCCTGGGGGCGGGAGGCAGCCGGCCCGAGGCAGAGCCACTCCGGGGGACTCACGTTGATGATGGCGTCCGTCTGGATGTAGTCCATGTCGGAGTGGTGGAGCCCCAGCTGCTTGCCGTCCCGCTGCGTGGTGCTCACGATGCCGGTGGTCACGGTGTTCTGCAGGGCGAAGGGGCTGCCGATGGCCACCACGAACTCTCCAGGCCGCAGGTCGGCCGAGCGCCCCAGCAGCAACACGGGCAGCTTTTTCTGGGGAGGAGGAGAGAGGGGCCCGGGGAGCAAGGCTCCGTTTGGGAAGGCTCCAAACAGCGCAACCTCCCAGCGTAGACACAGACGATGACATGAGGCGAGGCGGTGGCCCCTCTGCTTCAGCACGGAGCCCGCGGAGCCCACCTGGCTCTCAGTGCCCGGCTGCCGGGCACCTCTCCACGGTGGGACTCCCCCAGGGGTCGGGAGAGCGGCCCTGTCTAGTTTCTGGTGCGGTCCGGCTGCTGCGGAGGGCATGCTGGGAGCAGCAGCGCTCTGGAGGGGCATCCAAAGGCTCGGAGGTGCACACGGGTGCCTGTGGCCGGGGGAGCGGCCAGGCAAGCTCTGACCTCAGGGCTCAGGGACGTGGCCACTCCCAGTCACTCCCGGTCAGGTGACCTGAGGTGGCTCTCTTGGAGCAGCAGAGTGGCGTGGCCTTGACGCTAGCTCCTGTACTTTGATCTGCCTTGCCCAGCCTTAGGTTCCCCATCTCTAAAAATGAGGCCACGTGCCCAGACCCAGCCTCTGTGACGGCAGCAAAGCTACCTGGGCCCCTCAGGGACCCTCAGCCGCGGCCAGGACCCCGCACAAGACTCATCCGGTGTACACACACTCCGGAGAGGGGCCAGATGCAAGTCCCACCTCCGGGAGGTGGCGGTGGTCCCGAGCACCCCCCCTGCCGTGCACTGTGAACTCCGACCCTGGACTCAGCACGAACCAGCGCACTGCAGACCTGCATCCTGCCTGAGCAGCCCACCCTGCCCCGGCCGTGATCATGGGTGAACCCTGACTGCACACTGCGATTGCAGACGATGGGGTGTAGGGGGGCTTCCTCAGGGCTGTGGGGCATGGGGTGCAGAGGGGAATGCTGGGCGCTGGCTTCCAGGAGCAGCTGTGGTGGAGGACCAAGTGGCCTCTGGGTCAGTGTGGGAGCTGGTGGGGGACCCGGCGCAGAGGTGACAGGATGGGGCACAGGTCTAAGGGCTTGTGTCTGCCGCCCAGTGGGGACATCCGCACATCTGCCAGTGGCGTGGGGGGTCAGTGAAGACCCTTGCAAAGGGGGGGCCCTAGCGGGGAGGGGAGCGGCCCGAGGCCTCCCCTACCGTGGCCCAGGCTTGCCGGGTCTCCCACCTGGTGCTTGGACATACAGGAGGCGTGCTCCCAGCCTCAGTTCCGGGACTGACTTGGTTGGTGTCGGAGGGCCAGCTTGGGTGCCCCTGGCCTCCCGGTGAGGAGGCAGGGCTGGAGTGGGCCGCCCGCCCGCACACACCCCTACCTTGGGGTGGATCTTAATGGTGGCGATGTCAGACGTCGTATCAATGTCCTTGATGCTGGCCTCGTACGAGTCCCCGCTCTGCAGCTGCACCTTGAGCTGCTGCCGGCCCGAGACAGTGTTGGCGCTGGACACCACGTGGGCGTTGGTGACGATCAAGCCGGTCTCGGACATGATGAAGCCCGAGCCACTGCTCAGTGGCGCGTTATTGCCAAACAGCGGGTGTCTGCCAAGCGGAGGGCAGCGGCATGGGGCCGTCAGACAGCGAGGGGCGGGTGGGCGGCGTGGGGTGGGCGGGCTGGGGAGCTGGGCTCAGTGGGGACAGTGGGGTGGAGAGACAAGAGCACGGGCCTGAGTGTGAACCGTGCCCTGCCACATGCTTCCTGGCCATAAAGAGACGGCTGTCTCTGAGAGCAGCCCCGTCCCACAGCAGGCCCCAGCGGCCAGAGAGTCCAGACAGACAGACAGACCACGTTCAAACATCCAATCCAACCCCTCTGGGACCTGCCTCTGCTCTGGCCGCCCTCTGAGCCTGCTTCCCCTCCTGAGAAGGGCCACCAGTGCTTGGTGTGGCTGAGGGGGGGCAGAGAGGCCGGTCAGCTCGAGCCCCTTGGGGGGCGCTGTGTCTCCAGCTCAGACAGGGGAATTAGGAAAAGACTTCTTGGGGTTCCCAGGAATATGCCTGGAGCCGGGGGACGGGGGTGGGAGGCCCGGGCCCCCCAGGCCAGGGAACCACCAGTCATGCTGGGGTCCTACACAGCTCGGCCCCCCAGGAGGTAGATACCCTACCGACCTCCAGAGCTGCGCTGCAGGCTCTCTGCGGGCTCTGGAGGAGCCTGGCCGCCCCCCCATCCCTGCCAGTCCAGGCCCCACCCACAGACACCCACATCCGGGGCCCCAGGACCAGGAGCCAGTGGACTTGCACAAGAGCTCAGGACTGCTGGACTGGGGAAAGGGGCTCAGGGCCGGATGTGAGCGCCGGTGAGCACGCCACACACATGTGCACACATCAGTGCACACACCAGCCCTGGGAAGGGGGGGGGCTCGCAGCAGGGGGGAAACAGGCCGCACACCGCAACTGCTTCCTCCTGGGGGGGCCCTGGCAGCTCCCTGGTCCCTCCTTGGCCTCTCCCGGGTCTGGTCAGCCCACCCATCTGGCTGCCTCCCGGCCTCCTTCCAGCCCCAGCCACGCAGCCTTGCTGGGCCAGCCCCTCCCCTTACCCCTGGCTCCCCGCACCCCAGCCCTCTGGTCCCCCCCGTGCTGTCCTCTCCCAGGGTGCGCCCCCCCTGTGCTGTCCTCTCCCGGGGTGTCCTCTCCCGTGCTGTCCCCCCGTGCTGTCCCCCTGTGCTGTCCTCTCCCGGGGTGTCCCCCCCGTGCTGTCCTCTCCCATGCTGTCCTCTCCCGTGCTGTCCTCTCCCGGGGTGTCCCCCCCGTGCTGTCCTCTCCCATGCTGTCCTCTCCCGGGGTGTCCTCTCCCGTGCTGTCCCCCCCGTGCTGTCCTCTCCCATGCTGTCCTCTCCCGTGCTGTCCCCCCCGTGCTGTCCTCTCCCATGCTGTCCTCTCCCGGGGTGTCCTCTCCCGTGCTGCCCCCCCCGTGCTGTCCTCTCCCGTGCTGTCCTCTCCTGTGCTGTCCTCTCCCGGGGTGTCCCCCCCGTGCTGTCCTCTCCCGGGGTATCCCCCCGTGCTGTCCTCTTCCATACTGTCCTCTCCTGGGGTGTCCTCTCCCGTGCTGTCCTCTCCCGGAGTGTCCCCCCCGTGCTGTCCTCTCCCGTGCTGTCCTCTCCCGGGGTGTCCCCCCCGTGCTGTCCTCGGCTTAGCCTTGGCAAGTGAAGTCCCTGGGTCCCACCGCTGTCCCCCGCCCCCCGGCTGCCCTCTGCCTGGCCGCTAACATTGAGGTGGGTCCCAGTGGTCTGTGGGCACGTGGGCAGGAGGGCACGTGGCACGGGAAGCCAGGGAGCGGCCACGCACCTGAGGAAGAGGTCGATGTGGACCACGGCCGGAGCAATCTTCTCCACGACGTCGGCGATGAAGTTGAACTTGAACCTGGGGCTGGTCAACTGGTGGAGACCTACACTGGCAGGAAAAACGAAGGGCGTCAGAGACACGCTGGCTTTCAGAAGACTCTGCCCAGGCGCATCGGGAAAGGCGCCCACCTGGATTACAAGCTGAGCTTCCCCTCCCCTGCCCACATCGCCTCACTGAACCCCACAGAGCTGGCTCAGAGAGGAGAGGGTCCTTGCCCTGGGCCACAGAGCATCGATACCAGGGCTGGACCAACATCCCTGGGCTCCTGCCTGCCCTGCCTGCCATCCACGGCAGGGGGCTCCTGGGCCCTGGTCCTCTGTGTTCAAGTTTCATTCCCACATGCTGCAGGCAGGCAGCCGGCCGCTCCATCCCTTGGCCCAAGCAGAGAAGGAAACGGGCTGCAACGTCCGCCGCTCGCAGACACTGCGTCCCCACGGCGAGCGGCCCTACAATCCCCATGAGCCCATCCGGAGGACTGGCCTCCATCTGGAGGAAGAACCCCCTACGGTGCTGCGGGGCACACGGGGGCCCGGGCTCCGGCGCAACACACGGGAAGAGGCGCCCCGAGTCGCCCAGCCTGGAGGCCAGAGTCATCCCCGCCCGGCCCAGCACCCCACGTCCACCATGGCTCCGGGGTGAGCCCCACTCCTCCAGGTGGCCCTGGCGCCTGGCGTTCCTGCGGCCTTTGCCCTCCAGCTGTGTGGACAGCAGTGTGACCAGAGGTGGGCCCCAGGCACTGACCGGGCCTGGAAGGGCACCCCAGGGGGCGGGACGGCCTGTGCAAGGCCACCTGCTGACCGCAGGCCCAGCAGAGGCCGGCACAAACACTGCGTCATGGCGCCACGAGGACTGGGCCACACGAGAGGGGGAAGGTGGGGGCTGCCAGCGGCTCCTTTCCGGACCCCAGGGCTCTGGCACGGGCTGCACCCTGCCCCGCTGTCCCGGCCAGGCGCACAGCAGGGCACAGCAGAGCCGGGGCCAAATCCAAGTCCCCTCCCACCCACCCCAACCTCGCCCAGGGCCACGTGGGCTCTGAGCCCGGCTGCCCGCCCCACCCCAACCTCGCCGAGGGCCACGTGGGCTCTGAGCCCAGCTGCCTGCCCCTCTGTGCCCAGGAGCGTGCCAACTCGGTGGGGCGGCCTTGTGCGGGGGGGGGG